TCGTTGACTCTGTTTTTTTCCCCCAATTGCAGGTGTGCTGGGAGAAATTCGCTCGGTACTTCGAGGTGGAGCTGAAGGAAGTGAAGCTGACGGAAGGGTACTACGTCATGGACCCGGAAAAAGCGGTGGAGATGGTGGACGAGAACACGATCTGCGTCGCCGCGATCCTGGGTTCGACGCTCAACGGCGAGTTCGAGGACGTGAAGAAGCTGAACGACCTGCTGACGGAGAAAAACAGAGCAACGGGTTGGGACACGCCGATCCACGTCGACGCGGCGAGCGGCGGGTTCATCGCCCCCTTCCTCTGGCCGGATCTGGAGTGGGACTTCCGCCTCCCGCTCGTCAAATCGATCAACGTCAGCGGCCACAAGTACGGCCTCGTCTACGCCGGCGTCGGGTGGGCGATCTGGCGGAGCAAGGACGATTTGCCCGACGAATTGATCTTCCACATCAACTACTTGGGCGCCGATCAGCCGACTTTTACCCTCAATTTCTCCAAAGGTTCGAGCCAGATCATCGCGCAGTACTACCAATTGATTCGATTAGGGCACGAGGGGTACCGAAACGTGATGGAGAATTGCCACGAGAACGCCATGTTTCTGAAGGAAGGGCTGGAGAAGACGGGCCGTTTCGAGATCGTTTCGAAGGAGATCGGGGTTCCCCTTGTGGCGTTCTCGCTGAAGGATAACAGCCAGCACGACGAGTTCCAGATCGCGGAGATGTTGAGGACCTACGGATGGATTGTGCCGGCGTACACGATGCCGGCCGACGCGCAGCATATTACGGTGCTGAGGGTTGTGATTAGGGAGGATTTCTCGAGGACGCTGGCGGAGAGGCTGGTGCTGGATGTGAGTAAGGTGCTTCACGAGCTGGATACTCTGCCGGTGAGGCTTCACGGGAAGGTCGCGGTGGTGGAAGGGGAAGCGGCGGCGGCAGCTGTTATCGCCGGTGAGGGCGGGAGTGGGTCGGTCAACGGGACGTTTTTGAAGAAGACGGAGATTGAGACGCAGAGGGAGATCACGACTTACTGGAAGAACTTCGTGGCCAACAAGAAGAAGTTGAAGAACAACAAGAACACCATTTGTTAGGGGGGAAACGACGGCGTATTGGAGCACTTTTATTAAGCTGGTGTTTATTAATATGTGCTATTATTATGCTTAGTTACTGGTTAGGCTTTTGCTATTGAGCTTAATTAATATCTGCTTTTTTAAATTTTTGGTTTATTTGTAAGGTGGATTGAATCAAGGTATCTGGATTGTTTCCTATGGATTTATTAAAAATGACGTGAACAGAATATGATTTCATAAGACTTGTTTTAGTGTAATTAATAATAGATTCGTTGTTTGTGTCGGCAGTCGGCTTCAATTTCCTACTTTTATCGAATTTTCTAAATATAATAATTAAAAAATGTCTTTTTCCTAAAGCAATAATGATATTGTACGAGTGGTGGAACTGGGAATTCCTTATCTTGCTTGTATTGTTTGCATGGTAGGGACGTGATGAAGCTATTTGTGGGGTTGGCTCTCATCTCAATTCTCAAAGATGTTATCATACAACAGCTGTCTAATGTCTATATTGAGGTGATTTATATTTTATATTATCGTTTTGGTGGCGTTATACTTTGTGAGATTGAATCTATGCTTTTCAACTTGAAGTTCTTCAGTTTTGTTTATCTTGTTACTTCGATTAATAAATAGGGTTGTCAATTTTACGAAGAAAAAAAAAAGATTTGTAATTTACAGAGCACTTCTATTTCTTCTTCTGATTTCCATTTTTGACTTTGGTTTTCAACTGCGCGCGTAACACTTTTCGTAACACCGCAACCATTTTTTCTGACCAAAGTATTATTAGTTTTAAACGTAAAGTGGACAATATCTTGATAAGAAAAAAAAGGATTGAGATGTTACAAGTGACACCAGCGTATGTACGCTTATTGAACGATGGTAGAGTAATTCTCAAAGAGGGTGTAATACAAAAATTTGCAAAAATCGAACACCAACAAAGCATGAGAGATCCATAGTTTATAAAAGAAATTAAACAATTCAACATTAACTACAAAGTACATGGTGAACATTGAGGATTTTTTTAGAAACTCTGGAATTCAACATTCTTGAAATAGAATAGTGCACAGATAATTGACCTCGTGAAAGTCACTATGATTCATTTAAAAACAAAAATCACATGGTAGTAAACGTAAAATCGACAATATCTCAATGAGTAAAAAACTGGGATATTCAATTTTTCTTCTTCAATAAAATAATAACTAAATCATTTGCAAAAAGAAAAGAGTGTTGGCCCGGGATGCCCATGCCTTGGACCGAAGGCCGAAGGCCCAAAGCAAGTTCGGCAAAAGAGGAACAGACACCACAGTTTTAGGTAGGGCTGGGCATGCGGGCGGATCATCCGCGAATTTGTGTCGACCCATCCGCATTTGACCCGAATTTCGTTAAGTGGGTGGGTCTGTGGGTTGCGCTGGAAGCCATCCGCCGGGTGGTGGGTGGGTTGTGGGTGAGTGCGCGGGTGACCCGCTCAACCCAACAGCAAAAAAATCAAAGTCGTTGGCGCTAGAGAGAGAAGAGTGGAGACGTTAGATATAAACTCGGACTGCTCCTGGAGTTTGAACCTCAAAGCCAACCTTCCAAATAGAGATCCCCTCTTCTTCCCTTTACTTTTTCCTCTAATTATTGTGCCTAGATCACCGCTCTTTCCTTTGTGGAATTATTTTCCTTAGTTCCTTGCACCTAATAATCGTCTCAATCTGTAGAAAACTCTTCATAATAGAATTTCTATCCAATTTAAGAACTAATTCGACATTTTTCGCCCTATTTCAACTTCTGGTTACCCTCGATGATTCTCTTCACCTATTATCATGTCAAGTTGACTCCTTTATATTATATACATTGTGATGTGGGTGAACCCACAAACCCACCCGCATCATCCACCATCCGCCCGACCCAACCCGAGACTAAATGTGGGTGGGTGGTGGGTTAAAAATTATCAATCCGTTTAAGCGCGGGTGGGTGCATTTTATGGTCAAAATCCACCCGACCCACCCAATGCCCACCCCTAGTTTTAGGGATGTAAATAGGTCGGGTTGGGTCGGGTTGGGCCAAACTCAAATCCAAACTCATGGATTTACTCGTGAAAAAAAAAAAATCATGGTAAAATTTATTGGGTTTGAAAAACTCAAACCTAACCCGCTGGGTATTCGCAGGTTCATGGGTATCCACGGGTTTTTGTCGTAAAAAATTTACAATAACAAGTTCTTATCAAAATTAAAGTCAAATATCAATATCTAAATACAAATTATCCATATATAAAACACCATTCTAGAAAATTCAAGCAAATCATAATTAACTATACAAATTGTTCAACACCAATCTAGAAAACTTAAGAAAATTGAAGCAAATCACAAATTATCCATAAATAACATGATTAATTGAAAGCTTCTTCCTCCTTGTCAATTAAGTTTTTTCACTCTCCACTCAATAACATCAACTTCATTCTACACAATTAGAAAGAAAAAATTAGACATGTCTCCACAAACATAAATAAGATTAGTTGTTTAAAATATTAAATATACCAAGAAAATTAATTATATGGGTGTGGGCGGGTACCCATGGGGCGGGTTTACCTAACCCAAACCCAACCCAACTCGGTGAATAGTGAACGGTTTAAGCCCAAACCCGACCCAACTGTTGAAAGCTTCGAGCGCGAGAAGCTTGTTTCTCCTGTCTCTCGAAATTGGTTCCTGAAAGAACCCTAGAACACTTTTTAAAGAACAAGTGAGATCGAGTGGAAATGATCTAGATCGAAAATGAATTGTAAACCGAAAAGGTATATGTTTTAGTCTGGATGTAAAACACTTCGTATTGGGCTCAACTTGCCAAGCCCAGTCGCAATACCAAGCCTGACCACAGCGAATTTTCCCAAAACGTTGCGCTGCGACTTAACGTCTTGACCAGCTTCTTCTTCCTTTGCTAGAGATCGATTCCCTGAGTAAGTTTTCAGTTCGTGACCTGCAAAACAGAGTTTGATACAAGCAAAACAGAGTACACCCAAATGCACAGAAATTGAAATGCAGAAATTAAGGACACACACTCAATTTTTACGTGGTATCAAGTATTGGGAGAATAAAGATCCCAATACTGACTAATCCACGGTTGAAAATCACAACTCGTGATTTCCAACGATTCACTAAGTCTGATGATTCGATTCGTCGATGACTCTACACTTTTCTAGCTTAACCAATTCAATCCTGAATGGTTAATCTACCCTCTATCAACTGAGATCAATACTCCAAGCTATCCAGCTTCTGCGTTATCCAACGCTTTTCCTCTCTAACCCTGGTTCTCTCCAGAATCAACGTTAAAGCTCTCTTTTCGCTATCAATTACACTAGCTGTCTCCTAGCCTTCCTTGTGTCTCTTGATCACTCGAAAAGTGAGTCTAACTTGGTCCTTGATCGAGCAATATATCCTGCAATCATCTAGCCGTTGTGTCCCAAGAAGGTAGGCCTTCCCTTTTGAATTCTTTCCTGAAATGCCTTGTCTAATTCACACCTTCTGATTTGCTTCGAATCTTCTTCCCTTGCCTAAGTATCTCCATAGGCGATTCTTTCCAAATGCAACCATGATATCTTTTCTTTGAGATTTGAGGTGAATGACTGGCTTCCTTGTCAACAATCTCCCCCTAAGCCAGTCAATGATCCTCTCAGCTGCGTGAGGAGTTCCTGCACACATTTAAACAAACTGTCACGTGCAGACTGTTCTACAAATTCTTGAAAATTCTGCTTGAGCTATTCGGACTTCGAAACACACATCATTTTATTAGACTGATTGAAATTCAAGAACACTTAGACACTTATTAAATTGAAATGCACGAGCTCAGACAGAGCATTATTCACTACCAGTACTGCAACTGCTAAGACACTTAACCCGATCAACCTCACATGACTCCCCCTAAGCTAGACCACGACTCCCCCTAAGCTAGACACTCCCTTTAAAAGGAAAACCTAGGTGATGGCACATAATCTGATATGGTTTCTTCTTCATCCTCCATCATCAGATTTCTTTTGCTGCTGCTTGCTTCCTCTTGTCTGAACAAGGCTTGAACTGCTTCCAAAGGATCTACCATGGGTCGCTTTCCATTGTCTCTGAAAATGCTGACCTGCTCTGCCATATCTGGTGCTTCCTCAGCTTCATCCCTTCCCAGCTCACACAGATGTAGTCCATCCTGATCAGCGGGAACTCCAGCAGCAGCTGCTTCTCCCCCTGGAACATTGACCAGTGGTCCACGCCGTCCCACCGATGCATCCACCTTCCTCAGGACAAACTGAGCACGAAGTGAACCGAGCATATCGACGCGAGCCATTAAAAAGCGAAGATCTATCCCTAAGGCCAGCAGAATCTGAGTGATTTGTGGGGCAAACGGGAGCTCAGCATTATAGTTGTCAGCATGATAGTTCAGCATGTGGTCAAACATCAGATGTGGATAACTGATGACCCGATTTTCTTTGGCACTGGCAAGAATCCATAGGTCGGATGGATAAATAGTGTTGAGACCAAAGGATCTAGGCAGGAAACATCTGGTGATGTAAAAATGTAACACTTTTAGATCATCAGGTAGTCTACCAGAGTGGAATTCCGAGGGATAATAACAACCAGTGTCGCGGGTGTATAACCGCAGAGCATCGCCTTCATTGAAATCAACAGAGTGAAAGTCCAACTCATTCATGACTTCAGCACCAGTAATAGGAATGCCAAGCAATAATGACAAGAGTTCCACATTGATAGTGATCAGATAGTTGTATACTATCGTTGTGAAGCATGAAGGAGAAATGTGAAGACAAGGCTTCATGTTTGAGTAAAACATGCGTACTGCCTCAGGTCGAAACCCAAAATTGCGATTTGGAAGGATATCTCCCCAGCCGATAGTGTTGATCAATCGAGGAACATCCATTCCATATCTGTTGAACCGAGACGGATCAAGAGTTATGGAAGGATGAAGCGGACGGTCTTGGAATTGCTGCAAATAGAGAGCATACCCCGCTGCATCCTCAAACCCCTTGCCATTGAAGATGGCAGCTTGAGCCAGACGAAGGGACGCTATGTGATTGTTGGAAGCAGCCATGAGAACTTTTGAGAGAGTGAAATGTTACTTTGAATGAGATGAGGTGAGGGTCTCGAGCAAGATCCTCTTATAAAGTAGAGAGAGGAGTTTGATTTAAGGAATGTGAGGTATAAACAGGGAATGTATTGAGGCTTGCCCCGGAAGAAAAGATTTGAGAATAAGGAAGTTAAGATCAAGAAGAATATCAAAGAAATTACAAAGAATCTTGAGATTGAGTTAGCGTTTGTAAATCCGAGTAGAATAGGTAACTCGGATCAGTTAGGAGGTTCTGGAGACATAGCTGACAGACTAACTGTGTCATTGAGGGTGAATAGCCCTAGCTCTCGTCGAATACGAATGAACGATTTTGAGCCCAAGGGCTTAGTGAAAATGTCAGCCCACTGACATGAGGTTGGAACAAATTCCAATCCTATTTGACCTTCCTCTACTAATTCTCGAATGAAGTGATAACGAATGTCAATATGTTTGGTTCGAGAATGTTGAACTGGATTCTTTGTCATATTTATAGAGCTAGTGTTGTCACACAACACAGGTACTAAGTTAGGACACAAGCCATAATCTTGAAGCTGATGCTTCATCCAGAGTATCTGAGTACAACAACAGCCTGCTGCAATGTACTCAGCTTCAGCAGTGGACAAGGCTACTGAATTTTGTTTCTTGCTAAATCAGGATACTAACGAAGTGCCCAGAAACTGACATGTCCCTGAGGTACTTTTTCGATCCAAGACACATCCCGCATAATCAGCATCTGAATACGCTAATAATTCTAAGCTAGAGTCATGAGAATACCACAAGCCAAGATCAGGACATCCACTCAGATATCTAAAGATTCTCTTTACAGCACTTAAATGACTCTGTTTAGGTGAGCTCTGGAAACGAGCACACACACAGACACTGTACATGATGTCTGGACGACTAGCAGTTAGGTATAATAAAGATCCTATCATCCCCCTGAACATTTTTTCATTTACTGCTGATCCTGATTCATCCTTATCCAGTTTAGTGTTTGCTGCCATGGGGGTTATAGCAGTCTTTAAGTTTCCAAAATCAAACCGTTTTAACATGTTTTGAAGGTATTTGGTTTGACAAATAAAAGTACCAGCTTGAGTTTGTTTGATCTGAAGTCCTAGGAAGAAGTTTAATTCTCCCATTAGACTCATTTCGAAGGCACTTTTCATCTTTATTTCAAACTCCTTGCAAAGTTTTTCACTTGTAGACCCAAATATAATATCATCCACATAGACCTGTACTAACAAAATGTGTTCCTTTTCTTGTTTAATGAACAGGGTCTTGTCTACCTTTCCTCTTCTAAACCTATTTTCTATTAAAAATGAACTAAGTTTGTCATACCAAGCTCTGGGAGCTTGCTTTAACCCATAAAGTGCTTTCTTAAGTTTATATACATGGTTGGGGTAGTTATGATTTTCAAAACCTGGAGGTTGAGACACATAAACTTCTTCTTTTAGATCTCCATTTAAAAAGGCACTTTTTACATCCATTTGGAACAATTTAAATCCTTTAGAACTGGCAAAGGCACACAGCATACGAATTGCTTCTAACCTTGCAACAGGTGCAAAGGTTTCCTCAAAGTCTATTCCTTCTTCCTGACAGTATCCTTGTGCCACCAAACGAGATTTGTTCCTAATTATAGTTCCTATTTCGTCTGATTTGTTTTTATAAATCCATTTGGTTCCCATTATTACTCGATTTTCAGGTTTAGGCACCAGATCCCACACATTTGCACGTTCAAACTGGTTCATTTCTTCAAACATAGAGGCTGTCCAGAATTCATCCTGAAGAGCTTCTTCTACATTCTTAGGTTCGACTAGGGACACAAAAGCTGCTAAGGAAGGTAAAGTTTTGGATCGAGTAATCATACCTTGGTCTAGTGCTCCAATAATTTGACTGGGAGGGTGTCTCTTGACTATGTGTGGAGGTGGCTGTACCAGGTTTCTTTCTAATCCATCATCCTTGTCAGTTTTTGTTTCCTTGGATTGATCTGAGGCTGATACTTCTTTCTCATTGGTTACAGGCTTTTCCATGTTCTTATCTTGAGATGCTTCTGTTGACTCTGGCTGATTCTGCGTGATACTCGTTCCTAGTCCAAAATCATCTTCGTCGAGTAGATCTGTGCACTCAACAACACCCTCATCAAATATCACATTGGCGGACTCCTCAACCTTGAGGGTCCGCTTGTTAAAAATCCTGTAAGCCTTACTCGAATTCGAGTATCCCAGAAATACTGACTCATCAGATCTGGCATCGAACTTCCCTAGATTGTCCTTGGTATTCAAGACATAGCACTTACATCCGAAAGGATGAAAGTATCCTAAGTTAGGCTTCCTACCTTTCCAAATTTCATACGGAGTTTTATTTAAAGTTTTCCTGATAAGAGCTCGGTTAGTTAGATAGCATGCTGTGTTAACTGCCTCCGCCCAAAAGTACTTAGGCAGATTGTAGTCATGTAGCATTGTACGAGCAATGTTAATTAAAGTTCTATTCTTTCGTTCCACTACTCCATTTTGCTGAGGAGTTCTAGGAGCAGAGAAGTTATGTGAAATTCCTGATTCATTACAAAGTTGTTCAAACAAATCAGAACAAAATTCCCCTCCATGATCACTTCGGATACTAGCAATTTTACTTACTTTCTCATTTTCAACCTTTTTAACAAAAGTTTTGAAGTTTTCCAATGCTTCATCCTTTTTAGCTAAGAAAAGTACCCATGTGAATCTAGAGTAATCATCCACAATAAGAAATGCATAGGACTTCCCACCATAACTGACCACATTTGCAGGACCAAACAAATCAAGATGTAGTAACTCTAAGATTCTCGAATTAGATATAACAGATTTGCTTTTAAAACTCGACTTGGTCTGTTTTCCTTTTGCACAAGCATCACAGAAGAAATCCTTCTTCTCGTTGATTATTGGCAAACCTTTAACTAAGTTCAACCTGGCCAGTTTAGATAGGACAGCAACATTGACATGGCCAAGCCTCCTATGCCAATCTTGCTGTTCATTAGATTCTAGGGTAACCAGGCAAAGTTCATTAAAGCTGCTCTTGTCATTTAGATCAATTGTATAAATTTTGCCACTCCTCTTACCTGTGAATAAGATTTGTTTATTTTTGACATTTTCCACATAGCAGCATGTCGACTCAAAAATCACTCGATTATCCTTTCCACACATCTGACTTATGGAAATTAGATTATGTTTTAACCCTTCCACTAGCATTACATTTCTTATACAGGGACTAATTCCCACTTGACCCTTACCAATAATTTCAGCAGAGTTGTTATCACCAAAGTAGACTTTACCAAAATTTCCTAGTTTAAGAGATGAAAAGAGATGTTTATTACCTGTCATATGGTGTGAGCACCTGCTGTCCATGATCCATTTTGTCACCTCCGTGCTCACTTGAAGGCAACACTGTAGACACAACATTCATTTTGTTTTGCAAACCCAGATTTCCTTGGGTGCTTTTGTGATTTCAGGATAAAAACTATATTCAGGTGCAACCTTTTTCTTTCTTTCTTTCTTTCACATTTAGGTTTGGCTATCCAGACTTGTTTAGTTGGATAATGAGACCAAGATGCATTCCTATTCTTTACAGTTTCTGACCTAAGTCTTTTTCTGCAGTCCCTAATTTTGTGCCCATATGAGTGACGGTAATAACATTCTACCATTCTTCGATTACTATTGATACTCTTTTCATGGAGATTTCTACTTTCCTGTAATTTTCTCTTAAGATCTTCACATCTAAGCTGAACCTCTTCCTTTTCTTCTTTTATTTTTGACAGACTGTGGTTAAGTGTATTTTCTCTATGTTTGCTATGTTCTAATTCTCTTTCTAATTCAGTTACCCGTTTGAGATTAACCTCATTTTCTTTCTTTAATGTACTGTATTTGTTTTTAACATTTTCGAATTCTATCTGGATGTCATTTATGATTTCAACCAGTATTTCATCATCAGAATTGCATACTTGTTTTAGTTTAGATGTTCTTACCTGGGATACTGGTGATTCAGGATCTTCCTCTTCTTCTTCTACACAAGCGACTGCCATGTAAGATCTATGGATAGTTACCTCATCATCCTCTTCATCTTCATCCTCACTACAACTCCAAGTTGCTGCCAAAGCACTCTCTTTCTTCATCTGAGGACACTCAGCTTTAATGTGGCCCATTCTGCCACATTTAAAGCACTCTGTAGAACTTATCCCCTTTGCTGAACTCAACTCTCCTCGATTCCTTGCAAAACTTTTCCCTTGTGTTCCTCTACCCACGTCATTCTTTTCAAAATCCTTTGACTTATTTCCATAACCACCTTGTCTCTTTTCTCTTCTGATTCTAATCAGTCTGCTTATCTGCTTGCTTAATAATGCAAGCTCCTCATCTTCCAATTCATCAAGTTCTTCAAGTTCATCAGCAACAAGACCAGTGGCTTTGAACGCCACTCCTCTTTTCCCCTTCTCACTGACTTCTTTTTCACTTCCTGTCTTAACTAACTTCTCTTCGTGTGTAGCAAGTGATCCAATCAATTCATCTATGGCTAACGTCTCAAGGTTCTTTGCTTCTTCTATAACTGTCACTTTTGGAGTCCACTTCTCAGGCAGACACCATAAAATCTTCCTCACCAAGTCACCACTTTCGTATGATTTCCCTAAGTTCTCCAGGCTGTTCACAATATTGGTGAATCGTTCATACATTTGCCTGATCGATTCCCCTTCTTCCATTTTGAACAACTCAAACTGATGTTTCAACGAATTTATACGAGAGGTTTTGACCTGGGAAATACCTTCATATGTGACTTGCAACTTATCCCATATTTCCTTGGCCGTCTTGCATCCAGCCACTTTGTGGTACTCCTCTGGTCCCAACGCGCAGTACATCAGGTTAGTTGCTTTGCAGTTTTGTTGGAACTTCTCGAAATCTTCATCTGACCATTTTTCTTGATAGTCCTTGAGTTCATGAGGACCCTTGATTACTCTGGCCCATAATTTG